CAACACCTTCGCTGAGCTGATAGCCTACTAGGAGGAATGTCAACCTGTCTATCGGGACTTGCGGGCATGAAACGCAGCGTCCCCAGGCAAAAGGGACGTCAGTACGAATAAAGTACCGAGTATGTAAGGCAGGAAAGCATAAATAAGAACAGTAATGTAAAGAGAGATAGAGGAGATACAACCTGTAACATCTGAGTGCCTCTGGGGGCTACTGACATGAAATGCATAATACATATATATACATAAACTTTTAAAAACATACGCCTCTGTGGGCATCATCATCATCATATCATACCCGGCCTCAAAGAGGACTCGGTAAAAACGTACCCGGCCATCATAAGGCTCGGTAGAATCGTACCCGGCCACGTGGAGCTCGGTAAACCCAACTGATCAGTGGTTGCACAATAGGTGCCATACCCGGCCGACTATAGCGCGGCTCGGTAGAGTAAAGTAGATACATATATAATGCATGCTGGACTCATGGAGTCACGTTCTAAACCTTTTGGAGTGACATAAGGTCATTGCACCATCGATTAACATTATGGACATCATACCATCAATATGAACTTCACTAGGACTCAAGGATCATATATACTTTCTTGGAATAACTTTGTAAGGAAAGAATAACATGGACAACCTTAGTTGCTAGGAGTAGATTCATTATGAAATAGCGTATCGTTTATGTTCGTTTCACTTTAGATCATGCCAAAAGAATGAAGGAAGAGCCTTAACATACCTTAAACATGTTGAGTCCTTAATACCTTCTAAGCAACTCTTCAAACAAGTCAACTCGATCTATCATAGCATAAGGAGATTCAAAATCAGTGTTGAGCAAAGGCCAAGTCTGTAACTTAAGCTAGTAGCTCGTCTACGTAAATTCGGGCAGCATCTCCCTTGTAACAAGGGCCTCCTCCAATACCATATACCAACAACAACAGCCAGGGAAGTCCAGCAACCTATAAATATCAATAACAAGACACCATATAACAACAACAAGTCACAACTACTTCACGACGAGCGGCAAGCTCCGATTGGAATCCGTATAACCCATATCACCCCTTATAACTTCTTACATTACTTTAACAGTATCATTAACATGATAATGAAGTCATTAATCAATGATTCCATCCTTATACCATATATTTATAACAAAGGAAACAATCCTCAACTCCAACTATCTTCAATTAGTAGCTTTATTCACTAGTTGACGTCTACTCCATCCGTTTAACTTAATCAACATCAAGATAACCTTAAGCACATGCAAGAAGACAATACACATAACTCCTATAGTAACTTCAAGTCGAAATCCAAGTTATATTCAGCTCACAACAACCCTCAATAGCAATACAACACCATAGAAGTAACTTAAGCTAATCCAAGTACTATCTTGTAGTTTATCATCCTAACAACTTAACCAACATACAAGCAAGCTTAATCACAATTAGTAGGCTGTTATACTCACCTTAGACAGCAGCAAGAACTTGGAATTTCATCCAAATACAGCCCACAACAATCCTCAATGACCACACAACCTCAAAGAGGTGTTGTTCTTCACTAGAGCTAAGTTTTGATGTTGAGATATGGTGTAATCACTTTGGAATCACTTCAAACACTTGTGGAATCTGTTTAGAAGGGTTAGGAGAAGTTTGGAGACGAAGTTGAGTTGAAAATATGTGAAAAATAGGCGTCCAAATCGTTTGTAAAGTGAAGTAGGTCGACCACCGCCTAAGTGGGTCCCATTGGGAGCTGCTTGCGCGGTCTCGCAAAAATGCGAATATCTCTCTACTCCGATGTCGTATTGACGAATGGTTTAATGCGTTGGAAACTAGACTCGTAGATCTTCAATTTGATATGTAGATCATCCATTTATGCCAAGTATATTGGGAGAAAAGTGCATCTACATTTGACCTAAATTTCAGCACATTATAAATGCAACTTGTGATGATCTTTGCTAACTTTTGTTCCATAACTCGTTTGACTTAAAAACATAACACACGACTATCATACGACTACAATAACTCATAAATTAACCTCCTCATCATGTTAATCACCCTAGTCTCACCCCAAAAGAATATGTTATAACATTCCAAACTTGTCGATTTTTGACGAAACTTATTTTCTTCAATTCGTTTAGCGACTAAGCTTTCCAACCCTTTTGGTACTTGTTATTCATGATCTTAAATATTTGTAACCTCCAAGGTAACATGATTAACTTAGTTTATTTGCTTCCAAATATAATCTCATTTTCGAGCTTACATCAATGACTTACGACGTACTCTCACGTATGAAAACTTGGGGTGTAACAGTATTACTCAAGCAAGATTCATTTAAGGAAGCTGTCAAACATTGTTGGGATCAAAACTTCACTGGATGTCATATGTATAGATTGTGGATGAAACTCAAGGCATTGGAAAGGGAAGCAAGGGTGATGAACAAAGAGATGTCCAACACAGAGATTAGAATTGAAAAACTACAACAGAAGGTGCAGGATGTGCAGAGTCAAATGGCCAAGGACATGTTCAATAATCAGTTGACAGTTGAGGAGAAAGAATTACTTACTCAATTAGAAGAATGGACTGGAATTCAAGAGCAAATATTAAGGCAGAAGTCCAGAGCTACATGGATATCATATGGAGATGCCAACACCAAGTATTTTCATGCACAACTGAAAGCAAGACAAGCCAGGAACAGGATCTCTTCTATTTGCAATGACTATGGAGTCCTACTCTTAGAGCCAACTTTGGTACAACAATAATTTTTGACATATGATAAGCAGTTGCTTAGAGATGTAGAGTCAATATTGCCTTGCATTGATACTACTATTGCTAGAGATGGTCCTTGCCTTACATTGAGCCAGGAACAGGAATTACTAAAACCAGTTACTAGAGAAGACATAATCCAAGCTATCAAAGATCTTCCAAATGACAAAGCTCCTGGTATTAATGGATTTATAGCTGAACTTTTTAAAGCACATTGGGAGACAGTAGGAGAAGATATGATTAAAGTCATTTTATAGTTTTTTGACAATGGTAAATTGTTAAGGGAGGTCAACTGCACCATAGTCACCTTGGTTCCTAAGGTTTCTAGTCCTGCTTGTGCTAAAGATTTCAGACCCATAACATGTTGTAGTAATGTCTATAAGATACTTGCAAAGGTGTTAAGTATAAAAATAAAACCTATGGTTGATTACTTGGTGGGTCCATCCCAATCTGCATTTATTGAAGGTAGAAATATCCTGGGCAATGTGATTATAGCTCATGAGTTAGTGAAGGGTTATAGGAAAAAAGGAGTATCACCTAGATGCCTAGTAAAAGTAGATATCAAAAAGGCATATGATTCTCTGAATTGGGATTTCCTGAGGCAAGTGCTAGTGGAATTTGGATTCCATCAGAAGCTGGTCCATTTGATCATGAATCGTGTCTCCACCGTTAGTTATTTTGCTACTAAGTGGTGGTCTAACTCCTATATTCCATGCTAAGGGAGGGCTGAGACAAGGGGACCCCATGTCCCCATATCTATTTGTTCTAGCTATGGAATACCTAAATAGATCCTTGAAGTAACTTAGAAATAATCCTGACTTCAATTACCATCCCAGATGTGCAAAGAAGGAAATAGTTCACATTTGTTTTGCTGATGATATACTAATGTGTTGCAGGGCAGACAAGGTCTCTATTCTTCTTATGATGCAAGCATTTGATCACTTTTCAAGTGTTTCTGACAGAAAGCCATTCTGGAGAAGAGTTCATTCTTTGTTGCAGGAGTGACACAAGAGTTTAAATTCAGATAATGCAAGATATGCACTTCACTATTAGAGAGATGCCATTCAAATACTTGGGTATTCCATTGTCTTCAAGAAAGCTTTCTATTCACCAGTGTCTACCCTTGGTTGAAAAGATAATTGCTAGAGTTCAATGTTGGACCACTAAGTTCCTATCATACAGTGGTAGAGTACAACTTATCAAAAATGTACTATTTGAGATGCAGACATATCGGGCCCAAGTGTTCCTCTTGCCTAAGAAGATCCTGACTTTGGTGACAAATGTATGCAAGAATTTCCTGTGGACTGGGAGTAATGAATACTCAAGAAGAGCCCTAATAGCCTGGAGTACAGTATGTCTTCATAAACAACAGAAGGGTTAAATATATTGGATTTCTTTACCTGGAACAAAGCTGCAATCTGCAAACTATTGTGGGTAGTGGGTAAAAAAAAAGGACAAACTTTGGGTACAATGGATCCGTAGAATATACATAAAGGACAGGGAGCTGAACAACATGACAACCCCAAGTCAAGCCAGCTGGTTAGTTAGGAAGATATTTGATGCAAGGAAATGGATGACTCAATCTGGTAATGTTATGGACTGCCTTGAATCATTTGAAGATAGAGAAAAGTTCAGTATCAAAAAGGCCTATCAATCTTTTATTCCTACATTTCCAAAAGTCTCGTGGAAAAGCTTGCCCTAGGGAAAGGAATAATTCCAAGGCATCATTTTATTCTATGGCTGACAGTTCATAAGAAGTTATCAACAGTGGACAGACTACAGAAATGGGGAATTAAGGTGGTGCAAGATTATGTCCTATGTAACACAAATGCAGTGGAGACATTGGAGCACCTCTTCTTTTGTTATGACTATTCAAAGTATATATGGAGCACGCTGCTACTCTAGTTAGGGGAGAGGAGGCCAATCAGAGGATGGGATGAGGAGGTCATTTGGGCATCCAAGAGAACTAATAATTCTCGAACAAGAGCAGGCATCATTGGCTTCTTATTTGCAGCAAGTATATACCACATATGGGCTGAGAGGAATGCCAGAAGGTTCAGAAACTAGAGACGAGAAAGTAGGAAGTTGATCAAGAAATTGTACTGCAATTACATATATATGGTCAGAGAAATGGCAAATGGCAACAGTAGCTGAATGGCCTGAATAGTTACCCACTATAGATTCTAAAGTGTTAGACATGTTATAACTAGATATTGTCAGTAGTTATAGAAGTTAGATGGGTGAGGAACAATTAGAATAGTTGTAGAGATTACTGAGAGCTGACTCATGAGTCCACTGGGTCACTTGTACATATTGATATACTTGGTTAAATAAAATTTTTAAGTTTAACCCAAAAAAAAAAAAAAAAAACAAGACAAAAGATTTGAAATGAAAAAACCTGAAATTAGAGAAACAAAACTGCAAATACCCAAAGAAAAAAGAAGGTAAAAAGATCCTAAGAATGCTAGAAAAGATCATACTCTAGTATCAAACAAAACTTGTTCTTGTTCATCCTAGCTCATTCTCTGGTGAATTTGGTCTTTTCACAAAAATACCCTGCAAAAATAAATAAATATAGATATTTGAGGTTCCAAACAGAATAATGATAAATGAGGGGTGTATAAAGAAATATAAAGATTTTGAAGAACTTCAGAGGATGAATTGAAATAAGCTTGTATAAGTACAACTGGGCCTCAATTTTTATTAATATCGTCAATTAGCTGAAACTAAGAGACTTTTAATTACATAAAATGGGATTATACAATAAATCCATTGAAAAAATAAACCTAATTTACTCATAGAGTTGTTATTTATGTGGAGCTATACGTACTTATAAAAGAAAACATTTTCTTTCCCCTGCATAAACTGATTTATTTAACGACATCCAATGAATGAGGATTCAGAAGAAATTTCTAACGAATTCATAAATATATAATTGACCTTTTTTTCTTTCAGAATTTTCTAGACTTCGATAGAGTTAATTGAAATTTAGTTCTATTTTTTTTTTAAAAAAGAAGAAAAAGAACAAAACAAAAAGTGATTGAGAAAAGAAAAAGTGAATTCAGGAAAAGTTAAAACAATCATTCACAGGCAGAAAAATTTTAAAGGCCTTTATATGATTTATAGATCCCCACAATCTCATTTTAATTGTACTACCCAATGATTGAGGTAAGAGTTTAAATTTATCATTTTTAAATTATAGTGGTCAAAACACAGATAAAAAAGTCAATAACTATTTAGAGATTTAGAGTTTTTTATAAATAAAAAATAAGTATCACCTAAAAGATCAGTATAGATAACTGTTAAAAATAAGTAAAATAATAAAAAATAAAGCAAGTAACCCATCACAACAAGTAACATTGACAGTGTGAATATTTGTATACTTACTATTTGTAAATTTTTTTATAATAATGGTACCTTCATTATGATCGATCAGTGTTGACTTTCTAACTTGGTGAAATTCTTTTTAATGAACAAACGTGTACGTCGTTTTTCTTTGTAACGTAACACACCGGCCTCTCGCATGCATCCATTCTCTGAGAATAAGTCTATTTGTGCCAATCTAGCCTGCATCCAATATTAAACCATTATTTACACTTAAAAATCATAATTTTAAAGAAGATTAAAAAAAAACATATGTAAGTAGAAGACATTCGTTAAAACAAACCAAATTCGTGACCTACTTGAAAGAAATACTAAATAATTAAGAGTGTGAAAAGATTTTCTTTAAAAAAGAAAAAGGTAAGAAAGAAAGAAAGAAAGAAAAAGCGTGAGATGCACGTGCCATGGTCCAATAGTACGATTGCAGCTTATATATCTAGTACTAGTACTTCTAACTAAAATAACAGAATTCAAGATTCAATATCTTATGGCATTAAGGGAAAAAACATACTTGGACGTCATTTCCGGCAGCCTTCGATCCCGGCATTTCATCGGAGAACGGCGATTCTTTATCGTACCACGCATTCAAAACATTGTTGTAGTTCAATTTTAGGAGCAACTCGGATTTTGGTTTTGGCACGTCAACCTCTTCTTTGGTTGATTGACTCGAATTATCCTTGTTCGTCCTCTTTGGAGTCGATTTGTCCTTTGTTGATGGTGGTTTCGAGCTCCTCAACTCCACGAGTCTCTCGACTTTCTTCTTCTTTTTTTGTATAGGTGGTTTGCTAAATTTCGGAGTAATGTCGATGACATTTACACTAGGATTCTTCCACCAATCCCCGTCATCAACATTTCTCAATGGTCGCGCTCCATTTCTCATGCCAAAATCATAATGGAGGTATCCATTTTCAAATCCTAGTCCTATTGGAAAACCATAACTTGATTCATTCATTGATTCATTCTCCACATTTAGCTTCCCCATAATATTATCGATTACACCCTCTTCAATTTCCTCATCCAAAATAGACTCTTCATCAAAATCTTCTTGAAATTCATCACATACCTCTAAAGAACTACTCCCTTTGGAGTCAATTTCCCCTGGACTTTGGCATGGTTTGTCACATGAACTCATTAACCTTTGCTCAATTGGACAATTGGGGTTTTCTTGCAATGGTGGATGGATTAAAAATCCCGAATTTTCGACCATTTTATAAGGCACAACTAAGTCTGAGGATTCATATAAGAAGGGATAGTGTGGCTTTGTGAATTTGCAAGGCTTAGTGAGGTGTTTTGTGTTGAATATTTTAGGATAGGCTGTGGATAGAAGAGCTGCAGCTTCATTATAAGTTTGATTAGGCCTTTTTCGAGGGGTTCGAGGTTTTCTAGTTGAAATTGCAATAGGAGAATTGCTGGAGTCTGAAAGAGTTGATGAAGGTGAAGATGATTGTGAAGTCCATGAATTAGATGGAGATTTTATAATCTCTAAATCCAATTTATAAGCTGCCCTTCCACCACCAGTTAACCAAGAAGACATTGTGCTAAAAGAGAAACAAGGGAAAAACAGAGAAGAAATTCAAGAATTGAAACAAAAGTCAATTCTTGGAATTTAATGATGAATTCTTGAAAACCCCATTAAGCAATTCAGACTGAATTCTCAAAAATCAGGTGAACTTCCAAATTGGGAAAGAACAAAGAAGAAGCTAGAGAAAAAGTACCAATTGGCAAGAATGTATTTGATTTGGTGAAGTTTTCCAAGGAAGTACTATGTTTTTGTAAGGACATAAACCAAAACAGTACAATAACAGACCCTTAAACCCTAAAAAGTACACTCTTTTTTCACTATAAACCAAACTTTCCAAAGCATTTTTTTTAGTCAATGAGCTAAACACTTTTCAGCACTAGTTCCCTCTAACATTTAAAAAAAAAAAACTTGGCTTCAACTCACCAAACAAAACAAGTGGACAATGGATATACAAACCACTCTATCATCAAGTCAAAACTCAAAAAAGAGAGAATTTGCTTGGATTTACCCTTTGGCCAAGAATTGAGCTAAGGAAGAAGATGAAGCACTGAATTTTAAATAAAGGAATTCAGAAGGGTTTTAGGGTTTGTCATATGTATAAATATAGAAATAGAAAGAAAGAGAAAGAGGAGTTTTAGGTACAGTGGTCACGGGAGATGTATATAGAGGAAGATATAAGGCTAAGATTTGTGTCTGTGAAGAGATTGGGGTGTTTTTGAATACAGAGGAAAAGAACAAACAAAGCCTACAACTATTGAGTGGACCACTATTGCTTTGTGTTACAGTTTCCCTAATATATACTTTTGCATAATTACAATCACATATTCTCTTCGATAATTTGCTAAAATGCCCTAAAAAAAGAATTTTTTCTAAAAAAAAATTATTTTATCCTTCTTGATAAGTTGTGATGAGAGTATATGTGTATGGGTCAAAATCTGACCTCACGGTAATTAACGGAGTTAATCTCCTCTTGAGCTAATCCATAATTAATAAGTGGTATGGCCACTTATTTATAAGAGGATTTGACTCTTGTCCGATTGAATCTACGGGGGGCACGGCCCATTCATTCCCCCACGGGGACGGAACCTCAGCGTGGCCACGGCCATTTATTGCCAGCTCACGAAGCTCACATCTATAAATACTAAGAGTGGAAGCCCTAGAAAGGGGGCTACTTCTTCACTACTATAGACAGGAGAGAGAGGGAAAAAATATACCCGTCTTATGGGAAGAGAAAACACCATTGTAAGGCTCTGAACCTCTTCATGGAGAGGCAGACCAAACAAATATTATCAATAAAGGCTTTTAATGTTTCCCCCCTAATTCTGAGTACTTATTTTCGTTTCTTTTATTTGGTCCAATGGATTATTACGATTTGCTATAATTTTCCCGTGATTATTTGTATTGTTTTGCACTCAAAAGATATATGATAACTTTTGAGCAAACAATTTGGCGCCGTCTGTGGGGATTTCATAGCAAAATCGCGTAGTTCTTCCATGGACCAAAAGGAAAGAAACTCCGGAAAAGGAAGAACAACCCAGCTTAAACAAGCCAAAGCGGCATATCAGGCCGATGGAACTCGAAGATCTCGAATCGATATCCAGTTCCTCTGTCTCTCATCTATCAGATGGTGCAAACAAGAAGAAGCAGCCCCCCCCCTCCTAAGGGAAGGTCTCTGTAAGGCATCTCCCACATCCCCGATACAAGCTCCGGCCAGAAACCGGCACGGAGATATCTCGAGCCGAGAGTCGCCTCAAGACAGCCTATAAACCCTGGTTGGGAAGACAACGGATGAGCCGCTCAAGGTCTCGAATCCAAACTGAGCTTCAGCACTCAATACCCACAATATGGGACTCAGGCCATGAGCCTTCGTCATCAAAGATCGACAAAGTTCAACAACAGTTGAACCAAGACAGGTTACGCGCCTTCACCAAAAGTTCAATTACGGTTGAACCAAGACAGGCTACGCGCCTTCGCCAAAAAGTTCAACTACGGTTGAACCGGGGCTCAGGCTATGCGCCTTCACCAAAAAGTTCAACTACGGTTGAACCAAGACAGGCTATGCGCCTTCGCCATTATATCAAGGCTATGCGCCTTCGTCAAAAAGTTCAACTACGGTTGAACCGAGACAGGCTACGCGCCTTCACCAGAAAGTTCAACTACGGTTGAACCGGGGCTCAGGCTATGCGCCTTCGCCATTATATCAAGGCTATGCGCCTTCGTCAAAAAGTTCAACTATGGTTGAACCGAGACAAGCTACGCGCCTTCACCAAAAAGTTCAACTACGGTTGAACCGAGACAGGCTACGCGCCTTCACCAGAAAGTTCAACTACGGTTGAACCGGGACTCAGGCTATGCGCCTTCGCCATTATATCAAGGCTATGCGCCTTCGTCAAAAAGTTCAACTACGGTTGAACCGAGACAGGCTACGCGCCTTCACCAAAAAGTTCAACTACGGTTGAACCAAGACAGGCTACGCGCCTTCACCAGAAAGTTCAACTACGGTTGAACCGGGACTCAGGCTAAGTTCAACTAAGGTTGAACCGGGACTCAGGCTATGAGCCTTCGCCGTCAAAATCGACTAAGTTCAACAACAGTTGAACCGTGACTCAGGCTATGCGCCTTCGCCATCATATCAAGGCTATGCGCCTTCGCCAAAAGTTCAACTACGGTTGAACCAAGACGGGCTACGCGCCTTCACCAACAAGTTCAACCACAGTTGAACCAAAACAGGCTACGAGCCTTCGCCACCAAAGTTAACAAAGTCCAACAACAGTCGAACTGGGACTCCGGCTGCGTGCCTCCGCCAATAAGTCCAGCCACGGTCGAACCTAGACTCAAGCTATACGCCTTCGCTATTGAATCCAACGAGCTCGACCTCGCTCGAACTACAAGAATGGACGCCTTCGTCCTCAACTTTAGCAAGTCCAACCACAGTCGAACCGAGACTCAGGCCAAATGCTTTCATCTGTGAAAGCAAAGCCCGACCTCCAACAAATCAAAGCGCAGGATAGGCACCCTCGCCATTTCAAGTAAGTTCCCCCAACTCGAATTAAAATTCGGGCCACGTAAAGTTCGGCCCCGGTCAAACTACGAGGCCGCGTTTTTTACTATCACGACCGGTAGTTCGACCGCACCCGAACTGGGACTAAGGCTAAGCGCCGCTATCGCCAAATAATGGCCAAGACTCGCCCGCACCGAGCTGAAAAAGCAAGGCCATCAACTATATTAGGGCTAGGGCCATCGCCGCCAACGGTCGACCTAGATTCGACTACGGTGAGTAAACGACCCGACGACGGTCGAAGTTGCCTCTATGGCTAAGGCCGTCGATTCTATCACGACTAAAGTCGTCGATTTAAATTCGACTAGGGCCGCCAACGTGAACGGTCAACAAAAAGCGCAACAAAAACTCTAAAGAATGAAAGAAAAACAGTGACACAAAACAAGCACAAGGCAGGCAATAGAAAAGAAAATTTATATATTTACAAAGTCAAATTGCGGGTCATCCCCGCTTACACCCGGCCAAGGCCGATCAATACAAAAAAAAACAAAAAAACAAGAAACACCTAAACGCCAAACGGCGAACAAGACAAGAAAAAATGCATAAACATCTTTTTACTCGGTGCCGTCTGCGCCACCGTCTGCACCAGCGTCAGCCTCTGGCGTCGCCGCGTCAAAACCACAGTCGGCATGTGCCTCACGAGCCTTCTGACGCGCCCCCTCGAAAGCAGCTTCGGTCACGACGCCAGCCTCCCACAAACTCTTATATACATCACGTTGGGCCTCGGCAAAGACCCAAAGTTCTCGAGCCTGGCTGGAAGAAGCGGCCTGATCCCGTAGCCGCTGATTCTCTTCTTCTAAGGCTGTGATCCGGTCCGCCATGACCTGGGCGTCCTGCTCAAAGACACCAATCCGCTCCTCGAGACTCGCTTCTCTAAAGGCTGCAGCATCCCTTTCCAATGCCCGTTGGGATTCGTGCACGCGGATAGCCTCCTCCAACGCCCCGGCCCTCGACGAAGCATCCCTCACTTGAAGCTTCAATGCCGCGACCTCACCCTCCAACGCGGTCACTTTCCCGCTCCATGCCGCAGCGGCCTCCGCCGCCTTGGCCTCGCCCCGGCGTTCGCACTCAGCTGCGACCCTCTTCACCGCTTCGAGCTCCTCATCCTTTCGGCGGAGCTGCTCCTCGAGAGCACTCGTCCGGCCAAGTATTTGCTGCATCTGAAGCTCCCGCCTCGCCAGCTCTTCGACCAAGGCCCGGCTGCGAGGATCATTCCTCAAGCGCACGCGCAACTCTCGGCACTGATCTCGGTAGCGGCGATACTTCTCCAGCGCCCGCAAAAATATCCCCGAGCGGACCTTGGCTCGACGGATGCTCTCCACCTCCAACAGATAAGACTGCAAAGCAAAGACAACGATTAGAATAAAAGAATAAACTTAAGGCAAAGAAGAAGCGAACCGACGTAATAGTACATACCCTCAAGCCCATCACGGCTACTTCATTCATCAGTCCGACATCCGTAACGCCCCTCAACGACGCATTCTCGGCCTCCGAGCATAGCAGCTCGAACTGCGGCACCAAGCTTTCCCCTTGGAGCAATAAGTTCAATTCCGTGGGAACCTCGATAAAGCGAGATCGCCCCCCTGCGCGCACCGCTGAATTGGTGGAGCCTTCCTGGAACATACGGACGTCGTCGGGATCCAAGTCGGATTCAGACTCATCCTCACCCCCTACAGCATCCGCCGCAGCCGCCGAAGGAGCGCTTGCCTCACCCACATTAGCAGCCGCTGAGGAACTACCTCCCGTCTCAGCGACTGGAACCCCCGATTGAGTCGCCGAAGCGACGGTATCATTACGACCTGAGCCAACCAGGGCAACACCCAGTGTTTGTCCGCCCTCAAGGGCAGGCGCCGCAGCCGCACTCCTCTCCGCGTCCGCCGGGGGGGAGTCCAAATTAATTACCACAGGAGGAGCCGGCGCGAACGCGACCCTACGCCTTATCAACGGCCTCTCCTCCTCCCCATCTGATGACGATTCCGCTCTAGGGCGCGCAACCCCCGATGGCCCCTCGTCCCGAAGTAGGGTCCGTGATGGAGAAGAAACCGCTGAAGACTCGACTGATGCCGCCCTCGGTGTTGAGCGCGACACCGGCGCTGCAGTAAGCCGAGCAACTGCACCAGGCCGACGGAAGGCCAACTGAGGGGCCCTGACGCGGCGTGCCCTCCCTAATCACAAGAAAACAAGGTTGATGAATAGAGTCGAAACAAAGCGGAACATAAGAAGAAATCAATTTTTTACCTGCCACGGGCCTACGGCCATGCCTCTCCCAGAAAGACGCCCATGTGCGTATCCCCCGCGTATGAGGGAGTACGGCCTCGACCCACTCACGTATCCAAGACAATGGGGCCGGCGGCGACCTGTCAGCTACAAAAAAGACACGAGTTAACGCCCATGATCACAAATCATAAAGAGAGAAAGAAAAGGGAATTCAACCACTAAAGAACTTACGTGCATGGTTCCAAGCCTCTGGGAACCAGTAGCATCCTCCACCAGGTGCTTGGTCCTGATGTAAAAGAAGTGCTCGAAAGGGCGAGGGTCGACCTCGTCATCCAACCTCATGACCAGGCCCCTCGACCCACGAGGGCACGCCTGAATCATGGTGCCGCGGACTCTCTGGGGAGCGTAGAGACTTAGCACATGCTGCAGCGTGACCTCCCTACGGGCCAATTCCGCGTACTTGATGAACATTGCCAACAATTTGTATAGGGAAGGAGTGAGCTGACCCGGGCATACCCCGTAATAACGGCAGAAATCCACCACCAGCATTGGGAGCGGGATCTTGAACCCAACCTGAAAGGATAGGCGTAAAAAATGCAGTATCCCCGGCGATCGGTGTGGACCCTCTCCTCGCTTCTAGCGAGAACAATGTCTGCATGGGAAGGAACGACCCCCTGTTCCCGTAATCGGGCCATCCCAATCTCCCCCATTAACGGGGCTTCATCCACCGGTTCCTCTCCACCGTCGGCAGTGAAATCAATCGCCAGACCTCCGGGCCGGGGAACCACCTCGTTAACCGACGGAATTTCTCCAGACTCTATCTGTTCTGCACCTCCCATTACCGGAGATGGCCCTTCAACTGCCGGAAAATCTATCGGAAGAGCATCGTGGGAAGAGCTGCCTGCCATTGTTGATCTACTAAAGACAAATGCTATCACAATCAAAGGAAAGAAAGGAGAAGATGAATTAGCGAGATGAAAAAGTTTCCTCAGAATCTCTCTCAGATGAACAATGAAGATATGAGAAATGAATGCCTCAACCCACCTTTATAGGCAACATAAATGGCTTTCGCGAAATCCAATAGCCATCATTAACTGCACGACCAACCGTAAAACGGTTCGATTCTGCCGAAGCAAGCGTCGTTATGACAAGCTCCGCGAAGCGGCTTCTCAGCCATCCGCCAACGTCCCGCCGTCAGAATAATCGTAACGGCCTGCAAACACTTAAAGAATGCGCCGTACGCCTTCAAAATTCTAGACGTGACCAAATACGTACCCGGCGCATACTCATTTTCCACGGCCATCTCTAAAATATGAAAGGCTACGGCCACCTATATGAAAGGCTACGGCCATCTCCAACATATGAAAGGCTACGGCCACCCCCAATATATGAAAGGCTACGGCCATCGCCATTATATGAAAGGCTACGGCCACCTCCAATATATGAAAGGCTACGGCCATCTCCAACGTGTAAACGACTAAGCCGCCGCCGTCAATAAGTCGACCCCCTTATTCGAGTTTTTTCAAATCACAATCGATGAAATCCGCTCATGGAGCTCGGCCGAAACACGACCTCAATAAGCGGAGGGACAAACTGTATGGGTCAGAATCTAGCCTCACGGTAATTAACGGAGTTAATCTCCTCTTGAGCTAATCCATAATTAATAAGTGGTATGGCCACTTATTTATAAGAGGATTCGACTCTTGTCCGATTGAATCTACGGGGGGCACGGCCCATTCATTCCCCCACGGGGACGGAACCTCAGCGTGGCCACGGCCATTTATTGCCAGCTCACGAAGCTCACATCTATAAATACTAAGAGTGGAAGCCCTAGAAAGGGTGCTGCTTCTTCACTACTATAGACAGGAGAGAGAGGGGAAAAATATACCCATCTTATGGGAAGAGAAAACACCATTGTAAGGCTCTGAACCTCTTCATGGAGAGGCAGACCAAACAAATATTATTAATAAAGGCTTTTAATGTTTCTCCCCCTAATTCTGAGTACTTATTTTCGTTTCTTTTATTTGGTCCAATGGATTATTACGATTTGCTATGATTTTTCCGTGATTATTTGTATTGTTTTGCACTCAAAAGATATGTGATAACTTTTGAGCAAACAATATGACTTGTTATATTTCTAATCAGATGTGAAGAATCAATCAAACGGATTAAGATCTTCGAGCAGAATTGATTATTTGACGATTAGTTTAACACAACTCAGGGTGTGTTTGGTATAACGGAAAATGTTTTCCAAGAAAATATTTTCTTGTAAAACAAGTAGTAGTCTTACTCATTTTTTTGTATTTGGTACTCCAAGTAAAGAAAATAACTTCTCAAGAGTATTCATAAATAATTTAGATACAATAAACATGAAGCCATAACTTTCGAACCAACAACCTTCCGAACCCACAAATTTCATAAACTTTCGAACCACTAAACTTTCAAAACCGTAAACTTTCGAACCCGTAAACTTTCTAATTTCTAAACTCGTAAAGCTTCAAACACATAAACCTCCGAACTCATAACTTTGTAACTTGTAAAATTTCGAACATGTAAATCGAAAGATGAAAAAACTAAAACTGAAAATATATAAAAAAAATATTTTTTTCCGGGCGGAGGGGAGGGGGGGGGGGCAGAAAAACGAAAAAACAGTAATTTGAAATTACCAAAAAAAAAACTTATATGCGGGGTGTGGGGTGGGTGGTGCAGAAAACGAAAAACAGAAATTTAAAAATTACAAAAAAAAAAGTTAAAACAGTAAAAAATTATGCCGTAGGGGGAGGGGGGGAATGGGGGTGGGTGGTGCAAAAAAACGAAAAAATAGAAATTTAAACATACAAAAAAATTATAAAAAAAAATTTTGCGGGCGGAGGGGGAGGGGTGTAGGGTGGGTGGTGACCGAAAGAAATACTGTAATTGAAAAAAAAAAGCCTTTTTTGAGAGAAGGGGGTGGGAAAGATGGGGTAGGGAGAGAAGGGGGCGGGGGTTGGGGTTAGATGTGAGGGTAAGTGGAGTTTTTGAAAAATGTTTCCCTAACTTTTTCTAGGGAAGTCATTTTCCTCCAATTTCAGAAAAATATGATATTTAGAAAAATATTTTGCAAACAATTTTGTGCAACTAAACAGTAAAAAATAGAAAAATATTTTCCGTCATACCAAACACACCCTCAGTAAACAAACTTTGAAACAAGTTCAAGCACGTTCTAGTTCTCAAAAGAATTACGATGAAAAAATAGTGAGGTACTTGATAAACATTAGAAGTGAATCGAATTCAGAGTGATTTGTCTAATATTACAAATATGTATTGTTAATAAACTTTATATTGTTTGATCTCTGCCTCCTCGAATATGATATATTTGCAATTACAAATTAAGAGATAGGTTTTTCTTAGAGAAGGGGATTTTCTCATGATGGTGGTATCTAGCCAACTTATGCATATCTCGAGTAATTTCATCATATAGCGATAATCTTCACCAGTACAGATACTGAATAATTATACCACCTATTGGACTTTGAACGGAGAGAAGAGGATTTTTTTTCACAATTGGCTGAAAATCCACCTTTATGTTTGTAGTTTTCAATGTGTTAAACACAGCCCATTTTCTCAATTGTGTATCTTCTCATGGTTTTCAACCATCATAAGTAACATCTTTCTAAAACTCATTTCTTGTTGTATTTCCATCATCACATGTAATGAGGACTGAGGTAGATGCCCTACAATCCTTTACCTCTTCTTCCTTCTTCATTTTTTTGGTCTCTTATTGTTCTCGTGAACTGTATAGAAACGTTTGATAGCGCGATAAAGTTTTGTGAACTCTATCTTATAGAAATAGAAGATAAGATTGTCGTACGATAGACCTAATATAGTCCTGTGTTTCTCAGAATCTACGCGTCGTCGGTGTTTATTATACCAACTCGCCCTTTTGGTGTAGATTGATTCACTAATTTCACTTGTTGTTGTATCAGGCTAATAAATTACGAATATCTATTGTTCTTTCAGTATATTAACTGACAACAAAAGCTACTATGTTTATTAGTTAAAACAAATTAAAGAATACCATCTTCCAAAAGTATATATATATATATATATATATATATATATATATGCACACACACTTATGATAGATAAAATGTCGAAACTAAGATCTTTTGTCTGAAACTAATTATCTAGGTGCAAATGAAACTAGAGAAGGAAACAAACATGAGAAGATGAAAAATTTCAACTATTCTGCTTCATATTCATTGTCTTAACTAGTCTCTTCCTTGGTACTTTTATTCTAATTGTAACAAGGCCGAATAACTTTAAAAAAGAAAAATATGAAATAGAAGTAACAAAACTGAAAATATCCAAAAATAAAAAGGGAAAAATATCCTAAAATTCTAAATAAATCAACTCTTCATCCTAGCTCTCTCTCTCTCTGGTGAATTTGGGCTTTTCACAAACCGACCCTGCAAGAATTAAGAAAAATATAAATATTTGTGGTCCCAAATAGAATAACCATAAATTGGGGTGTGTATAAATGATTTTAAAGAACTTTATAGGCTGAATTGAAATTAGCTTGTACAAATACAATCGGACTCAATTCTTATCAGTGTCAAGCCGAAATTAAGAGACTATTAATTACATGAAATGGGATTATACACGAAATCCCAATGAAAAAATGGAACCTAATTTACTTATGTTGATGTCAATTAAGTGGAGTTATACGTACTTCCAAAAGAAAACATTTTCTTGCTCTTCATTAGTTTTATTTACAATTCCATTTAATAACATATGGCCAATGAACGAGGATTTAAGGAAAAAAAATAAACGAATTCTTAACTCTATAATTGACTTTTTACTTTCAAAATTTTCAAGTGCCGAGTTATTTTGGAAAAACAATTCATTTAAAAAAAAAGTGATTTGAAAAATAAACAATCATTCAGATATGATTGCAAATGTCTACTTTTACTTCTTTTTTTGCCTTTTCATTTCATTAACGGGAAAGCGCTCCCTATCATAAGTTTTTAAACTTTTAAAACTTTAACCCGAATATCTAATTAACAATGAAATCTTATCATTCTATCACAATCTTTATTAGTACAAATATCTATCGTTAATCGTGAAAATAAAAGTATCATTCCCTAAAGTTTTAAATGCCTTGACTTATAGATATCCACAATCTGATTTTTACTGTGCCTACCAAAATGATTGAGGTAAGAGTTCATTTTCTAATGTTACTGGTCAAAACAAAGAAAAGTTTATCTTATGTTTAGTGAAATAGAAATTATTTATAAATATAATACGGCTCATTTGTTCCTTCATTGTTTTATATTAAGAAAACGAAAAAGTATAGAAAATTGTAGGGACAATGATTTACTGATTAAAAAAAAATAGACACCTTCTTAGTATCATATAAGCCTGAAAATAAGGGAAAGGAAGAGAAAGGAAGGAATAAAAGCTTTTCTTTTCTTTTGTAAAAATGAAAAAGGAGAACCTTCCTTTCCAATATTCTGTCTAGTTTTCCAGCCATAATAATAATAATAATAATAATAATAATAATAATAATAATAATAATAATAATAATAATAATAATAATAATAAAAGAACGAAATATAAATCGAACACTTGAAGTACTATAAACTCATTAAGACTGAATTTAGAAAATTTAGAGGCCAAATAACATTTTCATAAAACTCAAGCTGCTCTTTTCATGATAAGTTTAACTTTTAAATACTGATAATGCAAGAAATTTTTCATATTACTATCTTAAAAATAACTAAAAGTAAACTACGAATAATAAGCGAAATTATTAACTGGAAAATAAGGTAAGCAACGGGCTAAAACAAGCTAAATTTATTGATAATATAAAAATTCTTTCACGTATCAATGTATCTAAGCTAAATCCTTTCATAATAACGGTACCTTCATTCTGGGTCGTCGGTCAGCGTTGACTTTTCTAACTTGATATCTAATTTTTTTAGAGAACAAACGTGTGCGTCGTTTTTCTTTGTAACGTAGCACACTAGCCTCTCTCATTCCTCCATTCTCTGAAAATAAGTCTATTTGTGCTAATCTGGCCTGCATCCAAATTTAATTTTAAGAAAATCAGAATCTTGAAAAATAAAAGAGGAAACAAATTATGTCATTTTCCTATACATTCTTCAATTTTATTGATTTTAAATAGTTCTAAGAAGAGAAAGATGCCACCAAGAAGCAAAGCACAAAAGGTTAAAAACAATCATATAATTACAAGACACTTGATATCATAGAATATGCTCTTGACAGAATGACCTACTTGAAATAGTAACAAATAATTTGATAATAAAAAAATGTCATTATTTCTTTTGGAAGCATTATTAGTTTATTACGTTAACAACACATTCTTGAATAAAATATTAAGAAAAGTAATATTAAAAACTATAGCAATCATTATGTGTTTGTTGTATGTTAAGGATTCATAGACGTAGTTATGTCGAAAACAGAAATTGGGAATAGAAAAATAATTTTATTAAAAAAAATAGAAATATATTGAACTTTTCTAATTTTTTAAAAGAGTACATTAATGTGTCAAAAAGGTCCCACTTTCAAGCTGGAAAGAAGCAGACTATAACATCGCTTTGATGCCAACTACCAACTTGAAAATTATGTCATGAATTCCACAAAAAGGATAAAGAGTAGCCTTTAAAAAGCAGTAGAGCTTTAAAAAAATATATATTTAAGAAACTAAAAAGAGAAAAGCGTGAGATGCACGTGTCGGGGTCCAAAGGTATGGTGCAGTTTATGTTAGTATGCTACTACATTTAACTAAAATAAGAGAATCCAAAGACACTTACTTGGACATCATTTTCGGCAGCCTCCGATCCCGGCATGTCATCGGAGAACGGCGACTCCTTATCGGACCACGCGTTCAAAACGGTGTCGTAGTTCAATTTCAGGAGCAACGTCGATTTTGGTTTTGGGATGTCGACTTCTTCTTTGATTGATTGACTTGAATTATCCTTGTTCGTCTTCTTAATAATCGAATTATCCTTTGTTGATGATGGTTCCGAGCCCCTTAACTCCACGAGTTTCTCTACTTTCTTTTTCTTTTTTTCTACCGGCGGTTTAAATTTCGGTGTAATGTCGATGACATTTACGCTAGGATACCTCCACCAATCTCCGTCATCAACATTTCTCAATGGTCGCACCCCACATCTCATGCCAAAATCATATTGGTGACATCCATTTTCAAATCCTAGTCCTATTGGAAAACCATAACATGTACCAAAATTGTGTTGGTGGCTGCTATTGCTATAACTAAAGCTAAAATTGGACTCCTTCAATGATTCACTCTCCACATTTAGCTTCCCCATAATACTATCAATATTGACACTCTCTTCAATTTCCTCATCCAAAATAGACTCTGCATCAAAATCTTCTTGAAATTCATCACAAACCTCTAATGAACTACTCCCTTTGGAGTCAATTTCTCCTGGACTTTGGCATGGTTTGTCAAAAGAACTCATTAACCTTTGCTCAATTGGACAATTGGGTTTTTCTATCAATGGTGGATGGATTAAAAACCCCGAATTTTCGACGATTTGGTAAGGCACAACCAACTCTGTGGATTCATATGAAAAGGGATAGTGTGGCTTGGTAAATTTGCAAGGCTTAGTGAGGTGTTTTGTGTTGAATATTTTAGGATAGGCTGTAGATAGAAGGGCTGCAGCTTCATTATAAGTTTGATTAGGTCTTTTTCGAGGGGTTCGAGGTTTTCTAGTGGAAATTGCAATAGGAGAATTGCTGGATTCTGAAAGAGTTGAAGAAGGTGAAGATGATTGTGAAGTCCATGAATTAGATGGAGATTTTATAATCTCTAAATCCAATTTATAAGCTGCCCTTCCACCTCCAGTTAAACAAGACATTGTACTAATGAGAAACAGAGAAGAAATTCAAGAATTTGAAATCTTGGAATTCAATGATGAATTCTTGAAAACCCCATTAAGCAATTCAGACTTAATTCTCCAGAAACCAGGTGAATTCTTAGGTCTGAAATTCAGAAATGAAATTTCCAAATTGGGAAAGAACAAAGAAGAAGCTAGAAAAAAAGTGAAGCAAAAGGCACCAATTGGCAAGAATGTATTGGTTTGGTGAAGTTTTCCAAGGAAGAATTATTTTGTATGGGAAATAGACCAAACCCCTATAAAGTACTCTTTTCTCACTATAAACCAAACTTCTCAAAACATTATTATTATAAAAAGAAAAGTCAATGAGCTAAACACTTTTCAGCACTAGTTCCCTCTATACTTAGTCCAAGAATTTGGCTTCAACTCACCAAACAAAACAAATGGATTAAAATAAACAAACCCCTCTTAGAATTAACTAACTCAAGAAGAAGAGAGAATTGAGCTAAGGAAGAAGATGAAGCACTGAATTCAAGAAAGCACTTTGAAAAATGGGAAATATCTAAGAATGGAAATGAGGGTATTTAAATAAAGGAATTCAGAAGGGTTTTAGGGTTTGGCATATGTATAAATATATATAAAATGGAACCCTGAGAAAAGAAAGAGAAAGAGGGTTTTAGGTACAGTGGTCACGGGCGATGTATATAAGGAATAGGAAGATAAAAGGCTAAGATTTGTTGATGAGTTTAATAGATATAGCAGAGACAGTTCCTCTATGTGTCTGTGAAGAGATTGGGGTGTTTTGGCCTTTGAGTGATTGAGATCAGTACATAAGAAAGGGACAAAGAAATGCTACAACTATTGAATGGACCACTATTGCTTTGTGTTACAATTTTTCTCTATATACATTTGCCTTTTTTTCTTTTTTTTTTGCAGTACAATTATACATTTTACTTCATTTACTAAAATATCCTTACTCGTGCATTCGGTCTAAAATTTATTGTAAACTTCTTTGTAAGTTGTGAGTGTATGACTTATTGTGTGTTTGGCTTGATTCAAAAAACTAATCGATCAGGATCAAAATCTCGAAGCAAAAAATAATTGCAGAATAATTAATTTTAAGCAAGTTAATAACAGTTTGAAATAAGTTCAATCGCATACAGATTTTCAAAAAGAATTACTATGAAGAAAAGATAATGTGAAACTAATACATAGAGATTTGTAAGATACGTCACAAACTCGTTAGTTAACCAATTTTGATATATTTTTGATCTATAGTTCAATAAGTTTATGTAAACATGTTAAATTAAAACTTTTCGAATACCCAACAATATAACATTACTTCTTTGTATATTGAAAACTATTCAAGTCATTTTTGTTTTTAGAGAGAAATACAAAAGGAGGAAACAAATATCAATCTAGATGTCCTAGGTACAATGAAATATTTCAAATATTCCAATTCTACAATTCAAAAAAAAAAAAAATCTTGAATATAATAAATTTGAAAAAAGGTGCATGGTCATCTTGTTATTTCATTATCAAGCATGGGGCAATTTTGTAACAAAGAGAGGCAGTGAAAAACAGGTTGAAGATACTATCTAATCCTTATCATGGGCACTCATGGATTTCCTTTGTTCTATCATAAAACTGCTAGTTCCATACCTAAAATTCTTTGAAGAATTAAAAAGAAAGTGTTTCTTATCTGATGACATGGCAAGTTATGATTGGTTGTTGAGATTTTCTTGGATGACGTGGACTGTCTTATATGGGGTTAGAGGATTTTCACATGTATCTAGAAAAGTGATAGGGGTGGTATTTTCTTTGGATCTAAGATGAGTGCAATGATTAAAACCCTTTTGGTGTCTTTTGTGGTCCTTTGTGTGTGGCATATGGCAATTCAACGTATGCCTATTTATGATCAATGGCTATTAAACAATATTGCACAACTACTCCTCTAAGTTTAATTTCCACAAATTTTCCCCCTTGATTTCTATCTCATGAACACTTTAGAAGGATAATATTGTCGAGATCGATAGACTTATTAACAAAAGATCAAATTGAGCTACTTTTGAAGTTAAAAGATAAAAAGAAATTAGGTATAGAGGAACACCATATGCATAATATATGCAATAACTTATGCTTTTTCACTACGAGACCGTTAATAGATATTAAGCGAAGTAAAGAAGTAAAACAATCGTCTTGGCATCACGAAGTTGTTTTGTCTAAATAATAAAATAATTTAACTAAAAGTTAAGATTTTATTTATTTATTGTCATTAATATAAATGGAATGAGGATTATAGAGAACCAAGGGAAAAATTATAGCAGAGTAAAAAATTAGGTAATTTTTACCTCTGTGACGAAGTCTAGTGCAATTAACTCATCTGTACTGGTAGAAGAATAACCGAGTCTGGAATCAAGATGATGCTAAAAAAAAGTGAAGTAACCATATTAATGTGTAAAAGAAAATAGAATCAAACTTCATATAGTTTGTAATTTTTTCTTTTACTTTTCGATTATCATTACATGATAAAGAATAAGTTGAACACAATTTTTTAGTTTGTAATTTGATTTTCCTTTTTTTCACATATTAATATGGTCGCAAAGCTTCCTTTAGCGTCATCTTGGTTCCGGACTTGAGAATAACTGTACCAATGAAACAGTAGAAGCGCGCTTAAACTAGTGTATACGGTCAAAATCGGGCCCACCCGATTTTACTGATTAATCAAGACCAGGGGAATGGATCGAGGGTCATCCCCATCGCATATCAGACCGAGACACGAGGATAAGGTACCGAGTTCCGGATTCGAGGTACCTGTCGAGATCGAGATCCGTAATAATCGAGATCAAACGGGATGAACATCAAGCAAGACCGAAGATAGCATAGTAACGGAAAGGCGAGATATCCGTGACTGGTCGAAGATCATGGCGAAAATCTAGGAATAGATCAAATCAAGGGCGGTTATTTAGCTAATCATGTGATTTCCTTCTGTAATTAGAATTATACCGTAAATAGGATTCCTCTACTATATAAAGAGTAACCATTTGTAATCACCTTACATTCACGCATATCAAAGCATTATATTACATTTACATCCCTTGCAAGCTCTGTTGTTTAGTTCATACTTTCACTAACTTGTTTAGTTATTTTGAGGGCAATTAGCTCGAGGGTCATAACTGTTAATCACATTGGTTTGCTTTATTTTACTGTAATTTCTATCATTAATTCTTATATTTATCATTTTGTGCCAAGTAAAATCACATATCCTTAAAACCACTTATAAGGGTAAACAGTTTGGCGCCCACCATGGGGTTAAGGATAATAGTGATTGTCTGGTGCAATTTCCGTAACACGAATAATTTTACGCTTGTTCTTTAAAGTGTCTTTGATTCCAGGATCAACATGTCGAACTCTCAAGTAGCACCCACACACACAAACGATGGCCTTGGTCTCCATGGCGAGAACGATAACATAGCCGTCCCAGGGAATAGAGTACCTCCAGTCAACCCCGATGGAGCTCCGACCGTGGATCCAATCGACGTCAATTCCCATATTGCCATTAATGAAAATTTGGGCGTCGATCCTGAAAATAGCATTTTTAGGGATGCTCGAACAGTCGATTAGAACACACAGGGTGGTGAAGAGGGCGGTATTAGCCTTCGAATGATATTCCAATTGTTGCAAACCCAGCAAGGTGAGATTGCGTAACTCTAAAATCAGAATCGTGCACCGAGCAGGATTGAGCTCGATCCATCACAAGAAATTGTCCATAGAGTCGAATCGGTGGCGAAGAGATCGAATGGAGGAGAATCGGAGATCAATCCTGCAATCGTAAAAATGCTCGAGGAACTGACGAAGCGAATCGATACAGGGGAAAAGAAGATCGAGGAAAATGATAAGAAAGTGGAAACTTATAACTCTAGGGTCGATCAAATCCCGGGGGCACCACCAGTATTGAAAGGACTTGATTCCAAAAATTTTGTCCAAAAACATTTCCCCCCGAGTTCGGCTCCGAAGCCAATCCCGAAGAAGTTCCATATTATCGAGATTCTGAAATATAACGGGATGACGGATCCAAATAAACACGTCACCTCATATACATGAGCCATCAAGGGAAATTACTTGGAAGATGACGAGATTGAATCCGTGTTGCTGAAGAAATTCGGGGAGACTCTATCGAAGGATGCTATGATATGGTACCATAACTTACCACCTAACTCTATTGATTCATTTGCTATGCTTGCGGATGCTTTCATAAAGGCACATGCCGGAGCCATTAAGGTCGCTACCAGAAAGTCGGACCTCTTCAAGGTAAGACAGAAAGACAACGAAATGCTCAGGGAATTCGTATCTCGAATCCAAATGGAGCGAATGGACTTGCCATCGATCACTGACGATTGGGCTTTTCAAGCTTTTACTCAAGGTCTCAACGCTCGAAGTTATGTAGCTTCACAAAAATTGAAAAAATTTGATTGAATATCCAGCTGTCACTTGGGCGATGTACATAATCGATATCAGTCGAAAATTAGGGTCGAGGATGATTGACCGGGGTCTCCGATCGGGGCGATTTATCCTAACATGTCTATGGACAGAGTTAAAAGGGACGTCGACTGGGAACCATGGTCGGATAGAGACCAATATCAGCATACGGTGGAGATCAAATAACGGCCCCAAGCGCAACCCCGTTCAGAATGATAGAAGGAATGATCGGGGGCATAGCTCCCGAGGGCGCATGAGCAAAAGTGGTTTAGATAGGGATGTGCTTCCACCATAGTATCAGCCATTGGACGTATCAAATATACCAGGTGGCCTCAACCTATGCAGACCGATCCGGCCTAGAGAAATCCAAACCAAATATGCAAGTACCATGGCACCCATGCTCACAAAATAGAAGATTGCAGGCAGCTAAGGGAAGAAGTATCCTGATTGTTCAACGAGGGTCATCTTCGAGAATTCTTAAGTGATCGAGCCAAGAACCACTTCAAAAATAGGGATTCGAATAGACAGAACGAGCAGGAAGAGCCACAACACGTGATTCACATGATCGTTGGAGGGGTTGATATTCCTCAAGGACTAGTATTTTAACGCACCAAGGTGATGATCACAAAGGAAAAACGGACGCGAGACTCTTACCGGAAGAGACCTTGTCTTTCAACGACGAAGATGTGGAAGGGATCAAACAACCTCATAATGACGCACTGGTAATATCTGTCCTTATGAATAAATTTCAAGTTAAACGTGTATTGGTTGATCCAGGTAGCTCGGCCAACATTATTCGATCGAGGGTCGTGGAACAACTCGGCCTACAAGATCGAATTGTGCCCGCAGCCCGAGTACGTAACCGTTTCAACATGGCAAGCGAAACCACCAAAGGTGAGATTGTTTTGCCTGTAAACGTTGTCGGGACCATCCAGGAAACAAAATTCCATGTGATCGAGGGCGACATGAGATACAACGCCCTACTCGGAAGGCCTTGGATCCATAATATGAGGGCGGTACCCTCGACCCTTCATCAAGTTTTGAAGTTCCTGACATCTGAAGGAGTCAAGACAATGTACGAGGAACAACATGCCGCCAAGGGGATGTTTGCAATGGACGAAGTAATACCGGAGTCAGCACTTTCCTCAGCAAAGGGATCAGACTCGAAGGGAAAGCAAGAGGCCAAATAGCAACCACAGATACCGGCCTCGACCCAACCGAAGAAGCAAGAGACCGATGAGGACGACGACTACGTGATACCTCGATCTTTCGTAGTTCCCAATGACTCCGACGCCACCAA